ACTATTTGATTAGTGCTGAAATAGTTTTCAAAAATATTAGAACCTACAATTGAATAGTATCCTGATACTATTTAAAGAAATACTTTTTCAAGAAGATATTACATGCAGCACTATGTGGTATCATAATAGAATAATTAAATTACAGATTAATTTATTTTATTTATTTTGTTTTATTTTTTGAGGAATCAATTTACTTCAAATCACTATATAAAGTTTCAATCTTTGGGATATGTGAAGAAGCTTTTCTATGGCAGGTATTCATTATTTAAGATATTTTTTTTAAAGAACAATTTTAACCCTTATCAGAGGTAAAATTTACCGGGTATGTTGTTTCTCAAAAATGGCTCTAATAATTAATATTAGTAAAATATTCAGCATCCCTAACATTACTTTAATTCAAGTTCTAAACCCTAAGTCTTTAAATTTTGTGATAAATTTTTTATATATCATATAATAATAATTAAAAACATATCGTGGTGAATTTCAATACTAGTGATTTGACCTGGGTTAAATTATAGCAACCCAGATGAAAAGGGTGGGTCAACCCATAGGTTGACCCACTGATGACTCATGGGTTGACACATGGGTGGCCCACAGGTTGACTCGTAGTTTTGCAATATATTAGCTTCCGAAGATAAATCAGCCGGCATTATTATCATATCCCGAGGCTATTATCATAATTTCTGAGATACCTGATAAAAATTGGCCGAATGATTTTTTTGCCAATTTGATAAATTGATATATCGATGTAAATACAGTATAACTAACTTGAATACAGAATATGATGTTTTCAAAATATCTCCTTGTAATGATAAAACTATCTGCGCAAAATAGCTTTTATATACCAAACATGCCGAAACTACAAGCTTAACCGAATCAGCAAAAAAATCATTCAGCTAATTTTTATCAAGTGTGCCAGAAATTATGATAATAGCTATAATCGAAGAAACTAAATAACATTTTTGGGGGGACATTAACCACCGGGTTTGTTTTTTAATTAACCTGGATCTGTCGGGTGACCTAGGCGGCAGCTTTTTTTAAACTGACCCGTTTCCACCCGGGTGAAGATTTTTTAGACAGATCAATTCACTAGTGAATACTAAATAATTTTTTTTTAAAATGGTTAGAATTTTTTTAATATTAAATCAACTTATATTTAGACAAATTATTTAATTAAAGAAAATAAAGATGTTGGAAAAGGAGCAAATGCTGTTATTTTAATAGTTTATCATTATTTTGAAAATTTTGGTCTTGGAAAAAAGTTCATTGTCATTCATGCTAACAACTGCCCGGGACAAAATAAAAATAATGTGATAATAAAATATTTAATGTGGTGTGTTTTAAATGGCTTGCATAAACGAATCATATATTCATTCATGGTGGCTAGTAACACTAAATTCTCACCAGATGGATTTTTTGGGCTCATTAACTTCGAAATTCTGAAGTAAATAACTTAGCAGACATGGTTCAAGTTGTTCAAAATTCTACTGTCGGGGGCTATAACTTAGCACAAACGATTTATAACTTAAATAGTATTCAACAAGTTAAATTTTATAAATGAGATGAATTGTTAAATGAATTGTTCAAAAATGTTTCACAAATCTTAAAACAGCACCATTTTATTATTTCATCAGAAGAACCTGGAAAAATAGTGATAGAATCAGCAATCTGTGAAACTAAATCAGAAATAACATTACTAAAACCAAATAAAATCAACTTATTTCCTTCACACAATCTTCCAGCATCTCTTCCAGCAAAAAAACTAATACCAGAACGGCAGTGGTATCCGTATAAACAAGTTCATGATCATGTTTGTGATCCTTCAAAACAAGCGAATTTTGTCCACTACCATCTGTGCCCCATCCTAAACAAACAAAATTAAAATATTTAATACGATAATTATTAATTGCTAAATTTGACTGATTAGTTTGTGTTTGATTTTCTAAAGGAATATTTTCTTCTTTAACAATGTTTTGTTGATAAAGTATTGTAATTAGTTGTAAATCAGCTTGAGGATATTGACCAAATACTAATCGATATGGTGTTGTCTTTGTTGCATTATATACTTGATTGTTCATAGCCCCTGCAGCAAATATACATATTACAGTATATATTATTATATATTATTTAATTTGTCAATATATTTATTTACTTACAGATTACAAATGGCAATCCGGTACTCTAGTCATTTCGCTTAGTCTCATCCATCCATGATCCGAGTTTTGTTTGTAAAATATCATTGCCTTTTTCAACAGAGCCTTGACACTGAGGGTATCTTGGTTATCCATGTATAAATTTGACAGATGACCATAATTTTATAGTTTCTTTTACAATATTACCAACAAACTTGCTACTATTATCAGAATGTAAAACTGATAGTGGTCCATATTTTAAACAAAATTGCAAAAAAAAACAAGCTGTTTCAATTGCAAATTTTGTTTTTGCAAGTTCTGCTGCAGAAAACCTAGTGAAGTGATCACGTATATAGATGATATATTTAAATTTACCATCTGGTATTGCTGTCATATTTATAGTATCAACCTTTAAAAAAATTAATAAAGTAAATAAATATATAAATATATAATTAATTATAGAACTTACTTGAACACGAGCAAGGAATTTTTCAGCAATTATAGGTTTCATAGCAGGAGCATGTTTTGTTGCATGTCATGTAACACATACATTGCATTGTTTAACTGCATTTTCCACTATTGCTTGAGGTATAAAGCAATATCTTTGTCGAATCTATAACATATATACAATAAGTATATATTAAATATTTAATATATTATTTTAAAAAAATAAGTTATTAATTTTAGTAAAAATATACTTTTAGCCATGTTTTTTCTTGACCACCATGCTCTGTATCTTGATGAGCCTGGCAAATTACATTGTAAAAGTTCTCAATTGGACAAACTTGGGTACCACAGTTATTGTTTTCCAACTTAAGATTTAATTCTTCAACAATACCAACTATGACTAATTTAAAAGTATGCAATACCCAATATTTAAAGTTTGCATTTTTATGTTTGCTTTCAGAGTTTCGCAAAAGAGTTAAACAGTGATTATATTTTGCCTGATTCATTATATGTCTTTCATTTCTTCGATTCTTCATATAGGCTAGGTGCAATAGAAAAGGCGGAAATTGACATTTAGTAAATCACAAGATAAATACTAATTTGTGTTTTGAACACAACAGAGATCAACATGCATCCAATCTGATTTGGAAATTGGAAATTTATGCCGTGTAACCGGAATCTATACGAAAATTTCTAATAAGTGCTCAATACAAATTTATAAAAGTTTTTGCCTCCATAAATCTAACTTTTTATTTTACTGTATCTTCTTTAGTATTTTAATTTATGAACGTAAAATACAATTATAATAGTATTTTTTTCATGTAGCTAGTTTGGCAAAACCAGTAAAATATAAATACGACTATGTCGTCCTTACTAGGAGGTTGTAAAAAAAAATAAAAAAAAAATAGTAAATTTGATCTATCTAATACCACTAACCTCAACACTATAGAATTTTGTACTATATGCAAAAGTAGAAAACTTATCTATCTAATATTCATGAACCTCAATGTTATAGAACCAAGATAAGCACAATTATAGACCGAATTTAAATAGTAATTAACATGTTGAATTTAAAAAAGTCCATACATACCCAATCGAACTGAAAAAAATCAAGATACTGACCCAACAACAGATCTTAATGTCACAGAATCAAGATAAACATAATGTACTATACAGCGCTGCATACAGTACCTCCGTCTTTTACAAGTTGATTAAATAATACCCTGAGTGTACTGTGTAAATAGAGGGATACTGTACGAGAGTTTATCAAAGAGAGTATTAATCATGAAAGTTTATTATATAATAGGATCATTGATTCGAACTACTTGATTAGTGCTGGGATACTTTTCAAAATGTTAGAATCTACAGTTGAAATAGTACTCTAATACTATTTAAAGGAGATTACTTATTTAAGAAATACCAGTACTGTGTGCAATACTAGATGGTAATACTAAATTTGTAAAATTAATCTCAATATTTACGTACTGGAAAAAATCAAGCTACTGTCTAATGTTCACGAATTTAGTGCGATAGAGTAAAGTATAATTATGGCAGTTTTAAATGTTAAGAATGTTAAATTAGGGTGTTCTCAAGCACCTTAATTAACCCATCAGAATGGGTCTGAGGGTAAAATTTTATTAGTAAAAAATAGTTTAACAAATCAATTGTATTGATTATTCCAATGAATAAAACACACATTAAAAGTTTAATACGTCAGAAAGAAAAATTTCATTAGCAAAAGTTCTTTTAACTGATCAAGGGTATTTATTATTCCAATCAATAAGAGATAGAGGCCCAGACGTCCTTTTTTTTATCACAGAGTTGCGTTTATTAACCGAATTTTCCATTGATTGATTAAAAAAAATAATTGTTCGAGTACTTCATTCTTTTTATATTATCATTATGGATTTTCAGAATCACTATTAACATCGACTAATTATTACCATATTACTTATACTAAAAATATTTGCTGCAGATATAAAAAGCACGTTTTTGTATTCTGTAGATTCATAGTAAATTCTGAAAAATCGAAACAGAATTTGGAAGTGTCATAAATGTGAAAATATAATAAACATTAAAATTTCAGAATAAAATAGGTTTCAATTTAATACAGTAATACAAGTTAAACTCGTTATAGTAAAGCAATCCATCTTATTTTAAAAAATTCACTATATCAAAAGTTCTATTAATAAATTCACTATAACAAGTAGAACTCTGCAAAATCAAATCAAACTTTGAATTTGAATCAAATATTTGAAATTATTTGATCAAATTTCTTAAAAATTTGGTCAAA